TCTCAATGCATCTTTTTAGTTTTTAAAACAATATTAAAGTGTTTAGTAAGCCACGGAACTCCCTAATGTGGAGTGGTTAAGCAGAGAGAGTCACGGTCCAATAGAAGGCGAGACCGGCCCTCCCACTCCTTTGGGGCGGGATTTGTCGCTCCCACACCTTCCCCCCTGTTTCCTATTTGATTCTTTACATTGTGGAATTTTTTTCTATTTTGTTTATTACATGTATGTTGTGTTTGTTTAGAATGCAGTTTTTTATTGTTGTTGATTCTAGCTCTCTGTCTTCAGGTTTTTTCCTTCTGAAGATTGCATACGACGACGAAAAAGTGTTTCGGTTGTAACTCGTCTGAGAAGGTGATGATCTCTACTCATTTAATATCTTCCTGCTGCCTTCCAATCCACCGTAGTCCTCCTGTTTGTTGTCTTCGTCCTCTAGCACCACCCAACAGACCGCTCTTTCCTCTGGCAGCTTCCTATTCGTTGTCCCCGCCCTCCAACACCTCCCTACATGCCCCAATTTCCTCCGGCCTCATCCAACATACCATTCCTTCCTCTGGAATCTTGTTGCAAGCCGCTCCGTTCTCCAAAATCTTCTGACATGCCGCCCTTCCTCTAGTGCTCCTCCAGCAGGCGGCTCTTCCTCCGACGTCCCTCGTATAGGAAGCACAACTTCCTACACTTGCCAGACAGACCATCAGCCCCTCCACTCCATCCAACACCACATCCACCTGTTTCCAGCCCACTTCCAGCAGACTGTCACTGCTTCATGTTCACTCCAGCACTGCCGCACCTCCCTCAATCTGATCCAGACCTGCTACACTCCCCTAGAGGTTGTTTATGTGTTTTGTATTGTTTTTATTCTTATTTTGAGTCATCATTGTGAGATGTTGAACTCCGTGATAATATTCCTTTTTCTCATATACTTTGCATTAACTCTGCTTCTAGCCCACTTCCAGTAGGCTATCACTGCTTCATGTTCACTCCAACACTGCCGCACCTCCCTCAATCTAATCCAGACCTGCTACACTCCCCTAGAGGTTGTTTATGTGTTCTGTATTGTTTTTATTCTTATTTTGAGTCGTCATTGTGAGATGTTGAACTCCGTGATAATATTCCTTTTTCTCATATACTTTGCATTAACTCTGGTATCACTCCAAAATCTCCTAAATATTTTGACATTTCAATTGAAATATAATCAAGCCTGCTGATTTTCCACCCTTAGTTATCTTAACAGTCTCTTTAACTTTTTTTTCACTAATGTGGCGATAAATATGTATAAAAAAGAAAAAAAAATAGAAAGATGGTTTCTTAGAAAGAATAGTAGGGGAAGCGATGGAGGTGGCATGCAACTGTGATTGCAAACAAAGTTAATACCAATTGCAGTGCGCGGCAAAGAGTCTAGAAGGTGCATTGAGTTCTCAGTAATGTTTGATCCAATCTTAGGTGTAAAAAAATAGTAAAGGACCATTTTTTTAATTTATAAATTAAAGCTTTAAAATCACATATAAAGCCTAACTTTTTAGTCATGTGCCTCTTACAAATTACATAAAGGTTTGCCTAGTCTTGCCTCAATCTCGCTGAGGCATAAGCGCCACTGTTGTTGTAATATTTTAATTAAAAAGTAGAACAATTTAGTAGCTATATTGATTAGGATACAAAAAATCTAATTATGGGCATAAACAAGCCAAACACAAGCAATCCCAGACTCAGCTTGTGTTCAGCTCGTTAACAAATATCACTGTTTGTGCTCAGCTCGTTTATATTTCGAACAAAGAAAAATGTTCGTGCACAGCTCATTTGTTTACTGAGTTGAATACGAACTGTTCACGAACAAAGAACCATTTTGACAATCTTAATCACACAATCGGAGGATATTAAGGGTAGGGGCAATAATTAAATATTATTATTTATATTAGAACATTATTTCAATATAAATTATTATATTTTTTGTTGAATTTTTTTAATTAATTATAAATCTTTGAGCCTGGTAGTCAATTTAAATTATTTGAAAATATTATTAGTCAGATATGAGGTTAAAGTCG